GGATCACCACCCCAGGTACACCGGGCCCTGATCCTGGCCCTGTTCTCAGCCCAAGGAGGAACAGTTTGAGGTGGGGGAGGAGGCTCCATGTGACTGTTGTGGAGCATCAAACATTCTAGTGGAACTAAGTGGCGCTATTGTTTGTTCCTTTGTTTTATGTACCTCCTGAGCAAAGGGAAATTTAGCAACACCTCTCCCCTGGCTCTCAGTGGCTAGATTGTTGAGCCAGCTTTGGCACATCTCCAGACGCTTTTTATTTTCTCCCCTACGTGTCTTCCTTAAGCAAGAGCATGTAAAAGAGGTGTGTGTGCGTGCGTGTAAACAAAGTGACATTTGAATGGCACAAACATGGAGAGCTTGAGCACAGAAATAGACCTCCCATAAATTGCCTCACACTCTTGTGATTAACCAGGGGTGCGGTGATAAAATTGCAAAGGGGATAAGGTACCCTTGCATCATGGAAGAGCTGCCCCCCTTTTTCTGCGCGGCTCCTGGACTCATTCTTTGCAACTCCATTGTCCTGCAACCTATTGGCTGGATAAACGGCCCCTTTCTCTAGACTCTGACTTTGCAGAGGTGGAATTTGGCATTTGCCGTATGGCCAATCCCATTCATGCAAAAATGATGAGGCTGGCCTTCAAAAACCATGAGTAAAAAGGAAACACAAGGCAGTTTGTGTTCGTTGTCTGCCCTCTGGGGTCACAGATTTATGCTTTCCTTGCACGCAGAGGCTAGCTATGTCCCATTTTTCATTGAACGAGGGCTGAGATTCTCGCCTAACCTGGTGATTCCAGGAGTTGAGGTTTAGGGGAGACACCAAAATGGTGCGAGCTGGCAATGCAGCAGTCCTGATTAGGGGACTGTCAGGCTGCAGTGGGTTTCCCCTGCCCAGCTGGGCAGGCTTCACGAGGGGTGTGGAAAGCGAAAAGTGAAGCATGCTGGGAGTGGCTGCCCACTCTCCCACAAGACGAGGGCTTAGGCGGCAGCAGAGAATTGTCCGGCCTTTAAGAATGTGTGATACACACTCCACTCCCTCCGTCCCTACAGTATCATGAAAGGCCCTCTTGTCACCCCAGAAGGGTGCAGGTTACAGCTGATTTGGAAGCACTGATTAGGTAAATAATGGGCACTTTAAAAAAAAATCTCATCCCTCCTGCTGTATAAACCAGGGACTTTGTATTGGACGGCTTGCTGTAATCTCCAGAGGGACCAGGAGGCGGCGTCCGGAGCTAATATTACATAGAGTCAGGCACAAGGCCCAGGACTGCCAAGGCTCAGTTTCTCACCCTTGTATTTAAACTTTTCTGTGCTGTGAAACAGGCACGTTTGCACTCAGCAAAGCAGCACCCACTGGGACCCAGCACAGGGGTATGTGTCCTATGGGCGTCACATTGACAGCTCTTTGGGCAAACGTATGTGCCACTCAGCCCCAGTCAGAGACAGAGAAACAGCTGGGTGGCTCTCCAGCCTGTACTTGTAAGATACAGGGGCGATATTTTAATGCAAGGTCTGCTCCCATAGGCAGTGGCTTCTCTTGGCCTTATGGGTCATCCTGGTTAGCTGCTCATTACAAAATACAAAAATCCTACCCTGTGGAAACAGCTTAAAGTGACTGGTAAAAAGGGGAGGGTCTGTCTCAATCTGGGAGCAGCAGCTCTGCAAGGCAGTGATTAAAGTGCACCCCTCGGGGACCTGGGTTGATCTAAATTCGGGGTGGGGAGGGTTGGTGGCCAAGTCTCTTAGCTCCCCCAACGCACCCTCACTTGAAGCACTGTGTATAAAATTACACAGCAGCTGGCTGGGACAGCAAACACAACTCAGGCTACAGCAGATGTTCTGACTGATTGGATGGTGGTGAGATCAGGGTTGTACTGCTCTGATCTGGCCTGCAATACTGGGGAAACCGGCACCACCCACAAATATGTTCTGAGCAGCTTTGGCATTTTCCCAGGAATAAAACAACACATATGAACAATAGGAATATGTCTCTGGTTATTGTCTGGACCCTTTTACAGTAGCCTCTGAGAGCCTCATAGCATAGGTGTTAGTGTATTTAGTCTCGCTACACCCTTATGAGGCAGTGATGTGACTTGAGGGGTACAGATGAGAAACTGAGGCACAGAGCTGCTAAATGAGATAGCCAAGGTCACAAAGGAAGACTGTGTCAGAAGTGGGAATTGAACCAGTCTCCAAGATGCAGCCTAGTGTTTTAACCAATGAGCCAGCCTTCCTCTGCTATCCACCATGCCTGACTTACTAGAACCAGACAGCTCCATGGGAATCGGTATTGGCAGCTCTTGCAATTTTATTGGAAGTCTTGAGCTATTCTATGTTTTTCTTGAAAGTTCCCAGAGTCATGAGAATTTCAGATTTCATGGGAAAAAATTACATTTCTAGCTTTTATGACTGCTGAGAAAAGTGTCAAAATGCTAAAAAAAATAAAATAAAATAAGCCACGGTGAATAAAAAGAACCCAACTTTAATTGTTATTTCAAAGCTAATGATCTTTAATGATCTCACGATTTAGCCGGCTGACTCGGAAACTTTGAATGGTGGTGGTCAGTCTGCAACATGGAGGAGGAAATGTGGCTTTTTAATCTGCTGCATAAGAAGGGCCATAGTGGGTCATCAGGCCAAAGGTCCATCTAGCCCAAAGTCCTGCCTTCCGACAGTGGCCAATGCCGGGTGCTTCCGAGGGAACGGACAGACCAGTCATCGACTGAACCCTATAGAGATGATCCAAAACTATAGTTGAGTTCCAAGCAGACTGAGAAGGGCTACAAAAGGAGCTCATAAAACTGGTTGACTTGGGAACAAAATGGCAGATGAAATTCACTGTTGGTAAATGCAAAGTACTGCATGTTGCGGAAAACATAATCCCAACTATACTGCTATGTCTAGACTGGCCTGATTTTCCGCACATGCTTTTAACGGAAAAGTTTTTCCGTGAAAAGCATTTGCGGAAAAGAGCATCTAGATTGGCACGGATGCTTTTCCGCAAAAGCACTTTTTGCGGAAAAGCGTCCGTGCCAATCTAGATGTGGTTTTGCGCAAGAAAGCCCCGATCGCCATTTTCGCCATCGGGGCTTTTCTGTGCAAAACAATACCGTGTTGTTTACACTGGCCCTCTTGCGCAAAAGCATTTGCGCAATAGGGCTTTTGCCCGAATGGGAGCAGCATAGCATTTCCACAAGAACACTGACAATCTTACATGAGTGTACTTGCAGAAATTCAAGCAGCCAGTGTAGACAGCTGGCAATTTTTTCCGCAAAAGCACTTGCTTTTGCAAAAAAAATCGCCAGTTTAGACACAGCCTACATGTAAAATGATGGGGTCTAAATTAGTTGTTACCACTCAAGAAAGAGCTCTTGATGTCATTGTGGCTAGTTCTCTGAAAGCATCTACTGAATGTGCAGGGGCAGTAAAAAAAAAAAAGCAAGCAGAATGCTGGGAATGATTCAGAAAAGGATAGAGAGGAAGACCGAAAATATCATATTACCTCTGTATAAATCTATGGTTTGCTCACATTTTGAATACTGCGGGCAGATCCGGTTGCCCCATCTCAAAAAATATTGGAATCAGAATGGTACAAAAAAGGGTAACAAAAATGCTTAGGGGTATGGAAAAGCATCTGTATGAGGACAGATTAATAAGATTGGGACATTTCTGCTTGGAAAAGAGATAACTAAGGCAACATATGATAAAGTCATGACTGGTGTGGAGAAAGTAAATAAAAAACTGTTATTTACTCCTCTTAACACAAGAATTAGGGGGTCACCAATGAAATTAATAGGCAGTGGGTCTGAAAAAAAGAATTTATATTTCTTCACACAATGCACAGTCAACCTGTGGAACTCCTTGCTGGAGTATATTGTGAAAGTCAAGACTTAGAGGGTTCAAAAAAGAACTAAGCAAATTCTTGGAGGTTAGGTCTGTCAATGGCTATTAGCCAGGATGGGCAGGGATGGTGTCGCTAGGCTCTGTTTTCTAGAAGCTGGGAATAGGGAACAGGGGAGGGATCACTTGAAGATCACCTGGGACTGGCTACTGTCAGAAGACAGGATACTGGGCAAAGACGGACCTTTGGTCTGACCCAGTATGGCTGTGCTTATGTTCTTACCCACGTGAGCTGCAAGTTGTTGGTGCAATAAACAATGAATATGAAGCAAAATGGGAAAGGAGGCAACACTGCCCACGCGTTCAAAGGACTGTTGTGAGCATCCTGATTTCTGCCCTGTCCATTTGGCCACAAGGCAGGGGTCAGCTTTCCTGGGGCTCCCAGGAAGGCCCTTATCAAAGACATGACGCTGAAGGCCAGATTCTTAGAGGTGCAAACGTGCAAATCGCTGGTGTTTGGAACCGGCCGGCAAAGGTTCGCTGGGCCCTTGTCACTCACAGTGGCCCCTTGGCTAAGCCCTTTGACACCCCTGCCAGAGGCTGGGTGCTCTTTGGGGAGAAGCCATGAAGCTGGAGCTCTTTGGGGAGAAGCCATGGGAGAGAAAGGGCTTGCGTGGGCATCCATGCCCTTAGCTGCACCCCGGAGACCTGCCTCTGCCCCAGATATAGTAGGTTCCATCTCGGGGTGCCCGGCTTCGGCTAAAGTGGGGGTCACCTGGGGACGCACCTGCGCCCTCTGGAGTCTGCAGCGGTAGCACCTGACGCAGCCCCCGGTTTGGGTGTGGCCGCACCTGGCTCCCGTGGGCGGGGCGGGGCCGCACCTG